CTCCCAGGTACCCGTCGTCGACCTTTCGCTCCTCATTTCCCCGGTGTCCACCGTCAGCCTTCTTCTCCTCGTCTCCCCGGTGCCCCTCGTCGACCTTTCCCTGCTCATCTCCCCGGTGCCCGTCGTCAGCCTTTTTCTCCTCATCTCCCCGGTGTCCCTCGTCAGCCTTCCCTCATCTCATCTCCCGCCGCCCGTTGGCAGCCTTCTTCTCCTCATCTCCCCGGTATCTCTCGTCAGCCTTTCCCTCCTCATTTCGCGGTTGTCCTTCTTCCCTTGGCCTTCCCTACCCACCTCTGCGGTGCCCCTCGTCAGCTCCATGTGTGACGAGGTGCCTGCTTCAACCTCCGTCTGACTCGGTGCCCGCCCGGTGCTCCAGGTTCGCCGAACCAGGCGTCATCAAGCACTACACCGACCTGCTCAGGTTCCACGCCACCAACCCGCCAGTGTTGAACGACGCCATCTTCACCATCCTGCACCACGTGGCGGGCGACGTGGGCAGGATCGAGCTGCTCATCCAGCCGTCCGTGCTGAGGATCTTCTCCGACATCTTGACCTCGCAGTTGCCCCTGCTGCAGGTCTGTGACCTCGGAGCTGCCGCTGCTACAGGTCTGGCTGCGGCTAGTCTGCGTCGTGGACTGGAATACGCTGTGTGTACCGTTGTTGGCGTGTCTGCTACAGTTTGTCGTGGACTGGAAACGCTGGTGTGTGTACCGTTGTTGGCGTGTCTGCTACAGTTTGTCGTGGACTGGAAACGCTGGTGTGTGTACCGTTGTTGGCGTGTCTGCTACAGTTTGTCGTGGACTGGAACACGCTGGTGTGGTACCGTTGTTGGCGTGACTGCTACAGTTTTGTCGCTGTCATCAGGATCCTGTGTTTTGTTCTCTAGGGTTTCGGTGCTCACTGTTTTGTACGCGTGTTTGTACATGTGTGTCAGCGTACGGCAGCGTACAGCGTGTTAGCAGCGCGTTGTCAGCATATAGCGTCACTGCCGCCACTCTCAGACTTCAGACTGAGGCCGATCAGCTAAAATCTACGAGAAGGGGCTGGGGGGGGGGGGGGAAGTCTATATGAGTCTGAAATCTGCCCGTCTTTTTCATTCAGTCCTCCTGGTTTATTTAAGGCTCAAGATTGTCAGCATAAAAAACCCCGAACCTATGGTGCCCAAAAGCTAGGGGTTCAGCGCCTTCCTAGCTTACATCCGTTGGGTTTCATTGCGGTGTGTTGAGTTGAGTTGTGATGCATGATGTGTCCGTGACGTGGCTTGTGACGTGATATGCTGTGACGTGGCGTGACGTGTCGTGACGTGATGTGCTGTGACGCGTCGTGACGTGATGCGTTGTGTTGTGACGTGACTCTCGTGACATGATGTTGTTGTGACGTGACGCGTCGTGACGTGACGTGATGTGTTGTTGTCGTAACGTGACGCGTCGTGACGTGATGTGTTATGACGTGACGTGTTGCGACGTGACGTGTCATGACGTGATGTGATGTGTTGCGACGTGACGTGACGTGATGTGTTGTGATGTGACGCGTCGTGACGTGATGTGTCGTGACGTGACGTGATGTTGACGCGTCGTGGTGTGTTTTTTTGTTGACGCGACGCGTCGTGGCGCAATGTGTTGTGTTGTGACGTGATGTGTCGTGACGTGATGTGTTGTGTTGTGACGTGACGCGTCTTGACGTGATGTGTTGTGTTGTGACGTGACGCGTCCGTGATGTGATGTGTTGTGACGTGACGCGTCGTGACGTGATGTGTTGTGTTGTGGCGTGACGCGTCGTGACGTGATGTGTTGTGACGTGACGTGTCGTGGCGTGATGTGTTGTGTTGTGGCGTGACGCGTCGTGACGTGATGTGTTGTGTTGGGATGTGTTGTGTCCTGATGTGCTGTGGTTGCAACCCAGTGTGTGGGGCGGCACCTCGGCACTCCCCGTACACACTCCACAGCGTCCCGTCCTGTTTCTGCCCTCTGGTGGCCGGGCTGTCCTGGCTCTCTGTGCGAAGTTCCTTGCCCGGCTCGGCCCGCGCCACTGGTGTGGGTGCACCATCGCCTCGGCGGCGAGCTGGCGGCGCCGCTGCCATCGCCGCCCCGCTGACCAGTCGTGACCTCCGGTCGCAGGACTGGCTGGAGCTGATTGAGCACACTATCCAGCGCTTCATCGAGAAACAGGGGGGTCCTGGGCGCGCCGCCCTTCCGGCGGACGCCTCCATAGCGCGATCCTCCACGCTGTGAGTACTGCGACTCCGGCGTCGGTGCTCCCCGGCTGCGAGCGCTGGGAGGTGCTGCCTCTGTAGCTGTTGCGAGAACCGGCGGCCGGATTCGAGTATTCACTTCGTTTGTGTGGTGGAGGGGGTCGTCATCATGCCGCGAGTGTTGTGGTTATGGCCTCAGTTCATGTACCGTTCTTTGAGTGGGGATGTGTTGCCACCACACGTCCACTCCGCGTGTGTCTGTGCTCCCGTGCTGGTCCCTTCCCGCCCTGTGTCCCGCCCTGATCGTGCTCCTCCTGGCCAGCGGCGGCCCCGGTGCTCTGTCTGGAGGAGGCCGTCTCGGAGAGTCTGCAGCGACTGTTGGTGGGCGGCGCCGGCCGGCTGACCGCCGCCTGTGGGCAGCTGCAGCGCGAGAGCGGGTGTCACTGTCAGCCCGCGCTGGGCGCTCGACAAGCTGCGCGCCCTCGAGCTGGTGTCGCCGCAGCAGTACCTCGAGCTCAGGGAACGGCTGGTCGACGGTGGCGACGACGAGGTGAGGCTGCTGACGCTGCAGATGGTGCTGGAGCTGGGGCTGAAGATGAGGCGGGATGTGGAGATGGGGTTGGAGCTGGGGCTAGGGCTGGAGCTGGAGCTGGAGCTGGAGCTAGAGCTGGAGCAAAGTTGAACTGGACGTAGCCGGGTTGGATTGAACTAAACCTTACGCTTCGGTGGGCTGGGGGATTTTTCGTGCAATGTTGGAGGTTTACAGCCGCTGGAAGCTGTGCAGTGCTGAATGGCTGACGGTTATCTCTGACGAATGACCCGGTGATGTCGCCAGCCGACGGTTATTTCTGACAAATGTCCCGGTGATGTCGCCACCCGACGGTTATTTCTGACGAATGACCCGGCGATGTCGCCACCCGACGGGCCGTCACTCGTCTCGTGCGCAGAAACTGCGCTCGCGTGGGCCCGTGTGAGAACGCGTCGGCCGTGCGTTCCAGCCTCCTTTTCGCGCGTGACGCGTGTACCGTCACCGGTCACCCGTGCTGCTGCCCCCAGTCGACGCCGGAGAGCCCGGACAGGACGTGGCTAGCCCGGCCCTGGACCTGACGGACCCGGCCGCCCGCCGCCAGCTGCTCGACCACCCGGCCGTCGGCTTCCTGATCGGTCAGTGGCGCAGCGCGGCCTCGGCGTGTCCGGCGCGGCCTCGGCGTGTCCGGCGCGGCCCCGGCGTGTCCGGCGCTGCCCGCCGGGTGCCGCCGCTCCCTGGGCGGAAGTTTGGGGTTTGTTTCGGTAGCAGATGTGTTCGGAAGATGCTGCGGAATATTGTTGAGTCCCTGTTGCTCTGGCGGTGATATGGGCACTTGAACATATCATTTCACAACTACATCGGGATTTGCCGAAAGGATGCGTTCGGGACAGCATAAGCCGCACGTTTCACAAGTCTGGAACGTGAGCAACTCCTGCGCTCTGTCCTTCAATGGAAGTCCTAGCAGTGTCTCGACTCCCGCACTGAATGCGCCGCATGCACTCTGTCGTCTGGCTCGGGCTTGCGCCATGACCCGGCGCCGGTACCTGAGGCCCGTCCCCGCCGGCTGCCACTAATCGGGGTTGGCCCGGCGGCAGACTATGCGACGGCGTGAGCTGGGCCCGTCGCCAAGCCTGAGCTGGCTGCAGCGCGAGCTTGCTGGAGGTGTGTCTGGGCGCGTATGCGGCCGTCCTCGACAGACGTCGAGCCGGTGCAGCTCTTCAGCCACCTGCACGGCAAGCCCAGCCCGCTGGTGCCGGCTGGCCAAGGCGCACGTGCGCGCCGTCAACTCGGCCGTGTTCCTGCGCCTGCTGCGTGCTGCTGCGCTTACAGGTGAGAGCGAAGGGAGGCCGTTGCGGCGGTGGGCGGGGCAGGGCAGACCGCGGCGGCTCGGACACATCCTGGCTCGCGCCTTTTGGGGATGCTTGTTGGAGGAGTGACGTTGAGGTCTGGCAGGGGTCTTAGAGTTCGAGAGAGATGTATCGAGGGGTGAGTGACGCTCCACGTGAGTTCGGTGCGAGCGAATGGAAGAGCTTATATTGGTTGTGAACGTTGTCACAGTTACTGCGAGCGCATTCTTCCTGTTTTGTTGCATCAGACTGCACTGTGTTGCACAACCTGGCGCGGTGGCAGGTTCAATTTTGTCTAAATGATTCCGTTGTCTTCTCGGCACGGGAGGAATACTGACTTCTCCAAAAACCTTCGCAAACAACCGTCGCTCGTGGTCAACGCGAGATGAGTGTCGCGTCGCCGCGTAGAACATGACGGCTGCGTTGCGGCCTGTTGCGCTCTACGCTGCTGCCGTCTGCTCTGCCGCGGGCACCGCGGGACGGTGGCGGTCGTGTGCCGCGGCCAGCGCGCTGAATTACCCTGTTTGCAGGTGCCGACAACAGACTGCGTATACCCCACGGTGCCCGTCTCGGCTGCCCGCCAGCTATCTTTTCGCCGTGGCGCAGAAGGGGTGGCGCCGCTGGATCCAGGGTGCGCAAACTGCCAACTATCAGTTTGAGAAATGTTGGATAGATGGCACTGGCGGGCTAGGCCTTCAAAATGAAGTGCTGTCCGTCTTTCGGGTTTTTACGTGATATCGTACCTTTGTTCATTATTGGCAGCACCAGAGTGCGTATTGGTTGAGATCCAGACAATACTTGGTTGCGTGGCTATTGAATCGTGCCTTTAAATACCTGCTCAAGAGGATGTGTTTAGCTTTCCCGTACGTTCTCCCCGTCGCCCTGCGTGTCACGGTCGTACACCGCTGGCGCAGTTTGATACCGACGAATGCATCCGAGTGCGATCGCCCGGGCCCGATGAATGCCTATCCGCCCACGGCCCAATCCACTCAGCCGTTCCCGCCGCTCCGCCGCTTACTTTCTGTGGCGCCCTCTACAGGCGTCGCTCAAGTTTCGACCCCGCGGAGCTGTCGCGGGCCGCGCCAGCCGCGCCAGCCGCTTGCCGCCGCCGCCGCCGCCGCCGCCGCTGCCGCTGCCGCCGCCGCCGCACCGGCGCCTTGCGTCAGCATGACGATACCGCTCGCCGGACGAGCTGCTGCTGCCGCCGCCGCCGCCTCCGATTGTGCTCTGTTCGGTACGTCTGCAGCGCCGGCGGAGCTGGCGGCAGCCGCCGTCGTCGTCGTCGTTGCGGGACGATGCCGACCCTGTCTTTGGCTGTGACGCGTTCGATGAACTGTTCGTGATTGTGTGCGTGCCGTGCTCTGCCGTGCGCGCCTGTTGCACGTGACCGCTTTCAGGTGCGTCGTGGGGCGCACCTCGTGCGCACCGTGTCTCGTGCCGACACCGCGCCGTTTCGGTGCTGAGCCTCCATACCTGACTGCCACGTGATGACGCTTTTCAGCCGCCCGAAGGCCAGCCTACTCACCGCCTGGCCACGGTGAGTGGCTGAGAGGGAGCGCCGCGGCGTGGCGGTGCTCCCAGCGTCGCACTGCGGCGGTTTCGGGTGCTGTGGGCCGCGCCGTGGGCCTGTGGGCCGCGCCGTGGGCCTGTGGGTCGCGCTGTGGGCCTGTGGGCCGCGCCGTGGGTCTGTGGGTCGCGCCGTGGGCCTGTGGGTCGCGCTGTGGGCCTGTGGGACGCGCCGCGGGCCTGTGGGTTGTGGCGGAAGGCGGCACTTGGTTCACTAGGCTATTGGTGCGACTTCCACGCGGTGCCTTTTGGTTTCCGTGGGGTGGGACAGGAGCAATCCCAGATGGTGGCATTGGACAAAGGGTCGCCTTTGCAGCGTTACGCTGTTTCCGTAATCCGATTTTGCAAGTATTCGTCGGCTGATCCCCATGTCGTTCCTGGTTTTAGGAGACGAGGTCGGGGTTTCATTGGGTACTGTTGGCTGCTGTCGTCTTCTGTCGACTCCCCCTGTGTCGCCTTGTCCGGTTTTACCAGCGTTGTCCCCCGCGCATGGTCCCCCGTGCATCAGTCCGTTCCGGCTCTTCAGCGTGCGGAGTCTCCCTATCCTGCCATCTTCGCGTGGTCTGCGTGCGGCACGTGCGTCCTCACCGGTTGGGCTGGGGCTCCGGTATCTTTCGTGCGGGATTGCGCCCGCCTGGCTGGGCGGCGCCCACTCGCCCGGTCATCCCCACCCCCTCCCACAGCTCGAGTGTACCGCGTCACCGCCGTCCGCCCTGCCCGCGTGCGGTGCCGGGCGTCTCCCGGCGAGCCGCCGCCGGCTGACGTTCGTGTCTGACTCGGCGCGCCGTCGTCGACAGTGGCGACGCGGACACCAGCGACTCCAGCATGGACGAGGACGACCCCTACGGGCCCGTGCCGGCCGCCGGCCGCTAGGGGCGCCACCGTCTCCTGCCGCGGCCGACCGGGGCGGGCCGCGCCGCGCCGCCGGCGCCGGGCGTCCGACCCCGCGCCTCCCTGCCGGCCGGCCTCGACAGCGGGCGACTGGGCCACCGTAGGTGCCCTAGCTGGAGTGCGGCGCGACCGTGCTGGGCGACGGCCCCGCACTCGCGGCCGCCTCTCCCCGCAGCGGTGCCGGCTCGCCCGTGTCCGGACAGGAAGCCCGGCCGTCGCTCAGATGTGAGCTCGGCGGCGCTCGTCTTCGCTGTGGTGGCGATCGCCTGGCGTGGTCTCCGCCGCCGCCCGCGGTGGTGCTGTCAGCGGGTCGAGTCGCGCCTCGGGACGTCCCAGGACTGTGGCGACGGTCGGCTCCGGCCAGCGGCTGACCAGGTCATGGCGCCCTGGAGGGGAGCACGAACGTGTCCGTGTTGGGAGGATGATGACCGGGCTCTGGCGAGCGGAGCGTCAGCGAGCCGACGAATGTTGCTGTTAGACGTCGACCATGGTTTTATTTGTATTGTTATGTTGCGCGGGCTTGATTTAATCTCTAGCAGACCAAAGGCTTTTCAGGTCAACTATTTATGCCATTATTCGGACACCGAAATGGACCTTTTTAACCAAGTTAGGGTATATTAATCACAGGAGCATATGGGCATGAAGTCATGCAAATTTCCCACATCGCTAGAACATATTCCGTGCCAACAGGACGATAACCATGTTGGC